GTAGCTTTTTCACGCCGTCCCACATCATGCGAAGACCAGCAGGTATCTCCTAGCTAGCTGACCTTGCACAGCATAGCACTGCCGCGTTGAATCGTTTGGGTCCTGAGGTGAATGACTCTGGCAACGCTTCTTTCGCCGCGCTCGGGACTGACGAGATGGACTCGTGATAGGGGCATTGATGAAAATTACAAGTCACATTTTGTTACCGGATAGCAAGTATTATAGTAGGGTATTGCTTGGCGCTCTCCTGTTATTCACCATTATTCACCAAACGCTTTAGCTTTGGGGGTTGACGAAATAATTTTGGTCATATGAGGGAGGGGCGACGCGAACAATCCGCATTGAAGTGTTCGTTTCCCAATCATTTGTTTCTCTTCTTCTCTGATTTGCTTAGATGAAAAACCAGAAAATTCAGAATAAAACTTATCACAGAAAATTCAGAATAAAACTTATTATGGACAAAGTATCAACTACATACCATATTTTTCTGAATGTGGACTATGCTCGTCAACAATATTTATCCATAATTTAGCATCATCATCGAAAAACTCATGAGAGAAAGCATCCCACCACTGGGCGAAATCTTTTTCACAAATCTGAAAAAAAGGAAATTGGTAAAATAACCAACAGTAACTATGAAGAAAAGCATAATCAGTAATTAGTAAATGAACTTTGAAACTGAATACAAATGTGCCTATGTGAATACAGAGAAAAGAAAATGGAAGGGCAAAAAAATGTCCGGTTTACAGTACTGTTCGCTGCGTATGATGGGCGTGACAGTGAGCCGATTTCTGGCACGCCGCCAGCTTGGTTGAAAACGGTTGATACGAACGATATGATACTATCTTGTCGCCTGCTCGCTTGAAAAACTGGTGGAAAACGAATTTGGCGCCGCGCCCTGACATGTCCCTTCATCCACGGCGAACAAAACTTTACGTCCCCGCCTCCTATAACGTGGTAGGAACCGGTAGAGATTACTATGTACACATTTCACCACCATGCCTTGAAGGATAAGACACCGAAGAGTTATCCCAATATTGGAAGCAACAATGATAGCAATGCTGCGATTCCTGATAAGGAGTCATAAAAGAAGCCGCTTCATCGTTTCGGACCTACTGGAAGCTGCACTTT